TATATTCATTGTTTCTTTCAGCAAATTTGTGCATTAATTAAGTACAAATATAATTTATTTTCGTATTAAATGTGAATGAATCTGAATGCACTCGAACATAGTCAAATGAAGGCCTTGTTCCGCAGATCGTCCCGTTGCTCCGGCTGTTGGTACTCGTTTCTCGGCTTTTCTTCGTCGGTCGTTTGTCCACGTTGCATTAGCATCTGCGTATTCTTCTGAATGGCCTCCAGCTTCTGGTGCATTAGTTCCTGCCGACGAGTCTCTGCTCGCTGCTGTTTGTCCTCCAGCTCGTCGAGCGTGAGGGGCTCCGCCTCGGCGGCTTGCTGCATGAGCTGCTGCAGTCGCTTGGGCGGCTGACGCAAGGTGTCGTTCAATGGGACTGTCTCGCTAGCCGCGGCGTCGAGGGGTATGGTGAATGCCTCAGAAGGCGCTGCTCCACGGGCGATATTGATTATGTGGGCAGAGCTGAATGAGGGATACTTACGGTACTCCTGCTTGGGCAAGGCGTTCATTGTGTTAGAGCTTGTTGTTGCGGGTCGTGGTGCGGCGGGTGGCGGGGACGGGGCTGGTGCTGGGGCTAGGGCTGGGGTTGCCTTTGTTCTGGTCTCGTCTACAGCTGTCGTGGACTTTGAATTGGAGCAGCCCATGCTCGGCAGTTCATCAGGCGCAAGGCATTACGCTAAAACTTCCGTTTCGGGCTGACGGCTTTTCCAGCTCTCTGCTCTCTGCTCTCTGACTTTTTAAAGGAATCTGTATCAGTTGAGCTGGGGATGTTGGGGCAAATGCTAACGCGATTTCCTGCTCGGCAAGGAAGCTACATCCGCTGCGAATCGTTCTACGGTGTGGCTATTTAATTTCCGCTTCAAGCCAAGCCGACAGCTTAGTCATTAGAAGCAGCTTGAGACTGCGCTTAATGGCTCATTAATATTGATTTTGCATGCGCTATGTGTGTGCACTGTGTGAGCGTTGCAGGACTTGCAGGAGACAACCTTCAAGCTGTCCGTCTGACAGCGGCTCGCAGCGAGAACTAAAACTGGAATCGCAATGCAAATGTTTTGTGCTGGTCATTAATAATAATCGCTGGGGCGCAGCCAGGACTACTGTCCTCCAAAAGGATCAATATTCATATGTGAACGGCATGTTTATTTCCTTTTATCTATCTCTCACATTGCCTACACTGAGCGATATTTGCGCAGAACAATGACAAATATTATTATATTATGGAGGGCATTACCGACTACAGCATACTCATTCATCTCCATTTCCCGGGTGGTCAGCCAAGTCTATATACCTAATGTCAGGTCTCTGCAGCTGCTCAAAATAAATCTTAGAAATATAAAATGCAATTGTTACCTTTATAATTGAAGAATTCAAGTTTCTAGCTTCAGTTGCGGCGGAAGAAGCTGACGGAAAGTAATTTGATTTTTAGTCTTAAATATATCATTATTATTATTACGCTAAAAACAGACTTGCACAGATTTAAGAATATTTATTGAATTTCGAATTAATTTTTTAGCGTGTAGTTGCGTGGGCGTGTGTAATAAAGGCTGCCAAAGCAAATAGAGCTAGACAGCGGCCACGCCCACTCGTTCATGCAGTGCCCCGAAAGGGGACTCTGGCCACTGTCGACCAGCGTCAATCAACTCCTGCTTGTGGTCGTAGCCAACGCTAATTGCGGCTTCATTTGCGTGCACATGAGCACCCACACACATGCGCACAGCACCAACACACACACACACACACTCACACACATCACGCAGAGCCACATACCACAGAGCCGTTAGCCGCAAAAGTTTAGTGACCCACTCAACTTTGACCAGAGCCGCAAGAGGTTTTATTTTGATGTTTACAGTTGGCCAGTGTCAATGCTGTCGCATGGCCATAAAGGCTATGGCCCAAACTCTAACGGCTTCCGGCTCGAAAGCTGCCCATGGAAGAGCTGCTGCGGAAGCGACGGCGCGTGCCAAGCACCGCCCAGAGCGTCCACGCATTCGTTTTGCATTTGGCTCACGTCGCGTCTTTTGTGGCAGAGTGTTGCTCTTGGCATGCAAATGGCTCGGAACGGAAGCAGCGCCGTCGTCATATCCACTTGCCGACGGCCCGCCGCTCCACCCAAGCAGAATCGGAAGGGCCCGAGCCACACAACAGGTGCTACCACCAGGTGCCGCCTCCCATTGGGTTAGCTAGCCACCAGCAGTAATAAGCGACGTTTAATTAGGTTAAGTGTCAATAGGATCATGTCGTCAATCAATCAATTGTACRCACACACACATACGTAAATAAATACCAAGAGGCATTCTTAGCTTGGTTATACCCAGAACCCATTTGCAATGGGAAATCAGGGTATAATAGTTATGTGAAAAGCATGGATTATCGCAGACCCTATAAAGTATATATTCTTGATCAGGGCGACGAGCTGAGTCTCATATCTTTTTTATCGAGAATAATCAATAAATTTATTTCGTTTTCTCAGCCTAATTTGAATACTATTAGACCTGGAGACTTGAAATTCACTGTGAATATATATTTAATGGATACGAAGATTTCGTAATTTACAGATTTTCGATACCATGCCCCCTTCGCCTCCAATTTGTAAAAGCCGTATTTCAAATACTAGAGACTTGGAAGGTCCGGGGTATCTCCTAGTCGAGCAGTCTCGACTTAATTGGTTTTGCTTTGTAGTTGTTATTGAGGTCGCAATCAATATATATCTATATATATGTATGTGTATGTAAGCCAATGTAATTTCCTTGCTTGGTGGCTTGGCGGCTTCCTTGACTGCCCAGCTGAGGGTGTGAGGTAAGGGTTTTCAATATAGCCAGAGAGAGAGAGAGAGAGAGAGAGAGAGAGAGAGAGAGAGAGAGAGAGATAGAGAGTTGTGTGAAGAAGTAGTCCTCGATTAAGGTAATTAGATTAAGCATTATATTTCATGTCATCAATATTTATATATACATACATATTGCAGATAACTGCTAATCGGAATCATAGGCTATGCATTTTGCGTTTTCTGAATAATGAACTTTATTAACAAACTAGAAACAGATATCGATAATCATGCCAATAAGGTAATAAATATTATTCAGTGAAACTTTTGTTATAATACAAAAAGTTTTTTTAGCTTGGAATACTTACTTGCCAATCGGCAATCGGCAATCGTCAATCGTCAATCGTCAATCCCTAATTAAATTGAGTTACTTAGGAAAAACACGGTGTTTAGCTTGAATAATTTGCTCTCGGTTTATTTAAAAAATACAATTTAGAAACGCTTTCTCAGTTGGTTGTTGTTGTTGTGGCAAAAACGGTCCATGTGTATCATCATATAATAGAACAATCAAATAAACTATTAACAAAGCAACTTTTCATCTGCAGCCTAGGAACATCATCATCATCATCGTTCTCATTAACTCCATCTCCGGTATTTAATCTCAATTAACTTGTAAACTTTATAAACTTACGCAAGTATCTGCCTCTGACAGCTTGAGGCAGTTCCCAGGAGAGCTGCGATCTAGCCCAGCACAGCCCAGGGTTTATATAGGTATAAAAATAATCTATATAAATATGATATATACGTGTGTAGATATATATGACTTGGTGTGTGTGTGCGTGTATGTGTGTGATCAGCATCTGATCCACATTATGATCAAAGACGCATGTATGTATGTGAGTGTGTGTATGTATATGGGTAATTGTTTTGTCTTGGATCGATTAGATACGGATTTACAGGATTTATCCAAATATGCCCGTAAAACCAGTCTCCGTTTAGGCCAATCACTATGCTAGTCATATTCCTGCTTTATGGATAAGGCCTTCTCGGTACACTTCTCAGACTTCGGATGGGAGCTCGTGGCCCCTGTCGTGGACTTGCCTTTGATGTAACTGGCCACGGTGGAGCTCAGCGGTATGGTAACATACTGATTGCCATCTGGAATATTGCAATTGTAAATATGTATATGTTAAAAAGGAGTTATTTATTGAAGATTTGAATATATAATTAGGACCTTCTTCGGCATGAATCTGTAATTGGCCCGACTGTATTAGATGGCGCAGCATGTCCGGCGGTATATTGGCGAACGAGGTGGCCGGATAAACATATTTGCTATCTGGTGCTGCTGCTGTCGCGGGCGACGCTGTTGATGCTGCCGATGCTACTGCTGCTGCTGCTGCTGCCGCCGCTGTGGACGTCGATGCACCCGTCTCAGTCTGATAGATTAATGAGGCTGGCATTGATTTTGGGCCACCTACGGACGCTGCAGTCTCTGGCTTCAGCTCATGGGCTGCTGCCTTGGAAACAGGGTCGGCGTCGGCTGGCAACGGCATTTCCACATCCGAAGAGTCATCCGATTCGTTGCCCGACGATGTTGGCGAACGGTCATCCTGCCAGACCAGAAGAGACCAAGAGAGCCAGTGAGTGAGAGAGAGAGGGAGAGAGTGAGGAGATTAGATAGTTGCTGCAGCCAAACAGTCTGGCCTGATCTGATCTTAAGCCAAAGATGAGCTGCATGCCAGGCTGGCCCGGACGGGCTCGTTCTATATGCCGGCCAAGCCAGCGATTGTGTCTGGCACAGAAAAGAGAACGAAAAAACAAAATATAAAGAGGGAAAAACAATATGCTTGGACCAAATATGGCGCGAAATTGCGTATAAGTGCTGGCCGCGTTGCTCGCACGTTGCCGGCACGCATTTCAATGAGCCATGCGCAGCGCTCGTTGCCTTAAATGTGCACACGCGTTAAAGAATTTAGAATATTGATTTCTGGCTCTGTAATCGAACGTGCAGGGACAACTCATCAGCCAGCCGCGGCGGCCGCGACAGCGCAGCTGCCTCGCATCATTTTAATTTTGATTAGTGTCTCGGCAAAAATAATTGCGAACTGTAACAATGCGTTCGCCATTTTGTGGCATTGCGCATACGCAGCGTGCGCTGCGCAACTGCAACTACAACTGCCTCAACTGCCTCAACTTCCAATGAAATTGTAGCAGCGACGCGTATGGGTAAATTGCATTGCTGCCACTGCACCACGCTGACCAAAATGGGCGTTGTCGTTGTCTCTGACTCGTCTGCTTGTTGTTGTTGTTGTTGTTGTTGTTATTGTTGCTGACGTCTGGCAGCCGGCCTGTGGTTCGAGCGAGTGCCTTTTGAGCGACAGCATCAAGACATTTTAATTAGCAAACAGCACTGGCTACAGCAACAACAGCAACAACAGCAACAACAGCTGCAACATTGACAAAGTGCATCTAAGTCGCGCAACTCGACTTTTGGCACTTGCAGCAACAACTGCAGCTGTTGCAACTGGCCAGCTCAGCAGTCGACAACAAAGGCAGATTCACACTCAACGAGTTGCAGTTGCAGCTGTGCCACAGCGCCAAAGACCTGCACGCATTGCTGATCGTGTTAAGAGTTAAAAAGCGTATGAGCTTTGTGTGAATAGATTGTAATTAGATATGAGTGAGGGCTCGGGATGCCAAATATATATACACATATATAGTATATATACCATACCATTTCCCTATTCTATGAAAATATCTTGTTTTAGTCTAGATGATAGTTGTATACTTTGCTATGTTTATATTATAGATATATACATATGAGAAGACTTGAGTTTCCTTATAAAGTGCATATTTATATAAAATATATAATTATTAAATACAATAAAACTTTCATGATGACTTTAAATGTTTATTGCAAGCAATTTATATTAAAAAAAAAAAAAAAAAAATTTTAAAATTAATTAAAAAAAAAAAAAAAAAATGTCTCGCCCCCGGGTGGACTCGAACCACCAACCTTTCGGTTAACAGCCGAACGCGCTAACCGATTGCGCCACGGAGGCAACTGAGGGCCGCGTGGAAAAATACAATGCTTGAGCACGGGTGGCCATTCCGGGACTTTTCGCCAAAAGCTCTTTCACGGAGAAAGCTAAAAACGTAAGATAGGCGACTGATTAGCCAATAAAAATGCGGAAAGATCTATAAATAATGGCGAGCTAAATGAACTTGTTCTACTGTCCTGTCAACACGCAGCAAGATCATCAATTTATGAGAGACTCACATGATTTCAAATTATAATAATAGCAATTATCGCATCAAGCGGAGGAGCAGGAGGGGGAGTTACAGTTGTGATTAGTATTTCAACGCTGTTCAGGTGAGAATGAAATCTTTTTGGATTACAAAGTGTAATGGTCTGTTATTGATTTTGACTGGGGCATTCCTACTGCTTTTGCTGAACAAATCAATTTACACAAGACAGTCAGTCAGAGTACAGAAGGATGCCGAGAGTGGAAGGACACGTTTCTGCTCCGTCCTCTGTCAAGTGCAAGAGGAGAATCGAATTGTTGTCGAATTGATAGTCGTGTGTCGTGCGCAAATGCCGAGCGTGTCTCATTAAACGACAATTAGAGTTGAGCTTGAGCTCCAACCTGAAGACCAGAGAGCAGAGCCGACCAGCCCAGCCCAGCGCAGCTCAAACCCCAACTAAGATTGGAGGCAGGAGGCAGATAGGCAGCGAGGAATGCGCGGCCAGTAGCTGGCAATTTATATAAAAATAATGCAGCATTGTATTGTGTTTAGTTTGCTTTTATTTGTGTTTTATTGCATTCAGTTTTATTTCTGCGGCTGCTGGCCTCGACTCGAGCCTGCAACAAATGCAATTATATAGAAATTTGTCTTGCTGTGATATGTGCGGCATGTTGCAGTTGCTGTTGCAGTTGCGCTGTTGCTGCTACTGCTATTGCTGCTGCAACTGCAGAGTTTGTGTGGCCATCGACTGTGCCAAAAATAGTCAATTTGGGAAAGGCTAATAATAAATGCGATCCGTCGCCTGTCAGTCAAACACACACACACACACACGCACACACACACAGGCGAGGCAGTTCGTCAACCAGTCGGCAAATGAATACTCGGATTATATACATACATACACATACACATACGCATATCTACATATCTACTCGATATACATGAATGAACGAACGCTGGCTACCAAATTGGCCAACTGACATTCACAGCCAAGGTGGCATTTTGTTGTTTTTGGAGGCAAAGTGAATGCGATTGAATGCAATTCGCTGATGGTGTCGTGTGACCTACACCAGGCCAATGATTGACGGATGGCACATTTGTGGATTGATTAGTTGTTTTACCAAAATGGCCTCTCGGCTATGCCACACGACGATGGCGACGCTGATGGCGATGGCGACAACATCAAGCTGCATGCCCCATGCCCCATGCCGCACGTTGTGTGTTGTGTGTCGCCAGCTGCTGTTGCTTTGCTGTCCCGTTGACAGTCAGCACCCGCTTAACAATCTCAACTTCAGGTTCAAAACTGAAATTTTCAGTTTGTGTTGCTGTTTTTGTTGTTTGTTTGTTTGTTTGTTTGTTTCTGTTTTGTTTGCCTCCTCCAGCATTTTGGCCAACATTCATTTGCATTTGCATGTTGTCATTGCTGTTGTTGCTGTTGTTGTTTCTCCTTCCGCTGATGGCGTGTGCATCTACCGACACTGATAGGAGCCGCCGCGAAACAAAGGAATAGCCAAATGTGAGTGCTCCCTGTTGCGGGCTCCATTGATGCTGGCGCTTTCAATGAAAACATAAAAATAAAAATGCAAATTAAGCCCCATAACGAAAGCATTTAAATCTAACGCACAATTCCGCGAGTGCAAACCACGGCAACACACCGACCGGCACAGTGGTACAAATGCAGAAGAAAACACTTAGAAATTGGTGCTGAGCCTAACATTAAAGTCTAGGAAGCTTTATTCTTGTGAAGCCAGGAGCTTTTAGCCATCCAATTTATATTATTGAAGTTGCCTTTAGGCAACTGTATCATCAATAATATTTTGAATACAAACGATGACGAAAGAGTTTCAATCAATTAACTATTATGAGTATTTGATGGGGAAATTCAAAAATATATCGCCGCCCCCGGGTGGACTCGAACCACCAACCTTTCGGTTAACAGCCGAACGCGCTAACCGATTGCGCCACGGAGGCACTTGCGAATGAGGTCAGAGTGGCGATATACCTACAGAGCTACCCCCGGAAGTTGAGTTGAAGTTACATTGTAAATCTAGATTATACGATTGCAGATAGTATAAGTAGATTCTTCGATGTATATAAGTCGATAGGAGAGGGGCAAAGAGTACCAGCCATCTTTCCTTTTCCACGAGTTTTTCAAATTGATCATGTGCTAGGGCTCAAGGTCCACTGTGTGCAGGTAGGCGGAATTACCACCCAAACCAATTCAAACAAGAAAGGAAACGAAGCCAAGTGAAGCCCCGGGCAGGGTTTGGCAGGAAACGTTAAGCAAATGTTATGGCCAGGCCAGGGCAAGGCGCGCGTAAGCTGCTGGGGCTGGTCGAAATGGGGCGGCTGGCAAACAAAGCCAAAGTCAGTTGACACGAAACAGCAGCAACAACAGCAACAGCAACAGCAGCAGCAGCAGCAGCAGCAGCAGCAGCAGAAGCAGTAGCAACAGTAGCAACAACAACAAAAACAACAACAACATTCAGCAGACAGAGACAACGCTGCGTAGAGGGACATTGTCATAGTTGGAGTTTGGCTGGTTCGGCTGTGGGTTTCGTTCGGTTGCATCCGGGCGAACAACGTGCACTTTAAAGCGTTTATATCCGCAAGCCGCGGCGGCTTTCTGTTTTTGGTCAAATCACAGTTTGCGGTTACACGGATTCACGCGCAAAGAAAGCGGCCAGCAGGAAGTGCTCCAGCAGCTCCAAAGATGCCAACAAGAAAGTGAGCACATCGTGAGCGTTTCCATTTATATTGGGCCAACTGAAGAGCTGACTAGAAGTCCAGCAGTTGTTGCAGTTATGATGGGAATTAGCATCTATTTATCTGTCAGGCGCGCATTAAGATGCCACGATTGGCCATTCACAAGAGCAACGAGCGCGCCTCCTGGCTTATTGTTCTCAGTCAGCAATTATTTGGCCAAATTGTAAGGGGCCGATAGGCAACCTGCAGAGCACAGCCCGAACTAGATGCAGAGCCTGGAGTAGCAGCAGAAGCAGAGCCAGGCCTAATTATGCGTGAGCCAAGACAACAGAACAACGGCCAGCGACAACGACAACGACAACTACGACAACGACAACGACAACGACAACGACAACGACAACGACAATGGCAACAACAACAACAACGACAAGGCCTATCAGACTAGGAAAGAGTTGGCGGGGACCAAGCGCAGTCAGATGAAACGCCACCGATTAGCCCTGGCGTTTGTCCAGGCGCCCGCCTTCCGCAAAATTTATGATGGGCACTAACAACGGGTTAAAAGCCAAAATGAAGTGAACTTGGCCGCAAACAAACAGTTGAATGGGCATTGCAATTATACGAAGCATTCTGAACCAAGCAGCGCCCATCGCACAGTGCC